AATACTCATTTTCAAAAGTATCGATACAGTGCTACCACCAGTGGCATCTAAAGTGCAGAATAGAGGACGATGCACTTTCAGAACACTGTGTGATTGAATAATTCTGTGCACTTTTCAGTTTCAGACTTTTTTTGTAACAGGTGCAGAATTATTTTTGTTTGGCTAGTGTCATTATGTGTGCAAAGCATAGCGAAGGAAGGAACATTTAATTTTAATTTTATAAGTTTTTTATCAAGCTTGCTTAATATTGTGCACAGCATACAACCTCAAAATATTGTTCTTATTTTATTTATTGTATTTTATTAATGAAAATATTTCTGTTGAATTTTGGAGTCTTTGTTTTTATCCTTGTGGTATCGAAAACGGTATCGAGTATCGAATATTTTACTTAGTATCGGTATTGAGTTGAAAAGTTTAGTATCGTGACAACCCTAGTAATAAGACAATGCAGTTGCTTTTTCCTATTTTAAATGTAAATTGTCTTGTTCCATTGGCAAAGTGTCTCACTTACCTCCTGAATTCGAGAACAAATGCACTTGGTTTAGGAAAAAAATACTTATTTAGATTTCAATTTTTTGCAGTGTATTTCCCAAGTTCTGGTCATAATAACCCCTCCTCCTGCTTTCCAAACGTCTTACTTTCATACACTATAAGATTCCAGCAATAAAGTCGCCACATGTCGTCGAATGTTGAAAGCGTAAACATATCACAAAAACACATCGTGTGGTATCTAAATCAGTTGGCTACACAAAGTTAAAACATTCAATTCTGCTATAACTTTGAAAATAGCTGGAGTCAGAGAAAACTCTCCAAGTCACTTTTATTTATAATTGTCTTCCACATGTAATACCTCTGTTCCCTGGATGGGCTGCTACACTGAGTGGTGAATCTCAACAAGGATTCAAAGATGGCAGCCTTGTCCAGGGTGATGCACAGGAGGACATGATGGCTGATGGGGTAGAGGTGCTCTACTGGAACAGACGGCTCATTGTGCACTGAAAAAAAAAGACCGAATTCAGACGCATTCATTCGCCTTGGATGATTTAACCCTTATGATTATATCATTCAAACCGAACGCAATATTTCATATCATGAAAATTGAGAAAGAAATAGCTTTTTTAAAAATTGGTAGGACTATGTTAGGGTTTGGTAAAATAATCTGTTAGCATCAACCCTAAAAAAAAAAAATGTATTGTTGATTTCAACAATTGTTTTCAAAATTAGTTAAAGTTCATTTCATTGAATCATGAGGTCTACATCTAGTAAAGAGGGAATTTCAGACATAAAAGACCAAGATTAATTGGGTGTGTTAACTTTTGACTGGAACTGTTTATTCACCAAGAAATTTAGTCAGGATCAACAGAACACCTTACCAAGAACCTCCAGAATTACTTCCACGTACGTCAGAGGATTAAGAACATTGAGTCTGTATTCAAGGCCTTTAAAAACCATCAGCTCCGATTCCAGGAGGGTCTGTTTGGAAACTCTGAGGCCAAGAGAATGCAGGACCTGCACCGCAGTGGAGGCTTCAATCATCTGCAAAATGGGAAGATCCTTGTCAAGTTAATATTTTTAATAAGGAATTCCAGAAAACAATCAGCAAGTGGCACACAAAAAACCTACAGGTTGATGTAACAAGTATTTGCTTGCAAGCTGCACGCAAGAGAAAATAATCAGAGGGAGTTTATCCTTCAGATGAACAAAAACCTCATAGATTGGTGCCTCATTAGCTGTTGCACCTTCAAGTGGGATTGTGGCAAGCATATCTGCAATGTGCTTGACCATAAACCTAGGAAAGATCAAAAACATTTTCAATAACATTACATAACAGGTAGCAATAAAGAAGAAAGAAACGAAGAAGGAGCTTCTTTTTTTTTATTACCTCTGCAGGAGTTCAACTGCATGGTGAACCACTACTGGATCAAGTTTCAGCTCTTCAGTCATTAAGATGACGTATTCTAGGAAGCAAAATGGTAGTGTAAGAATTTAAAGTCTGCGCTGATTAAGATTTGTGACGTCGATTGGGAAAAAAAACAAATATAACGCAGATTCTTTGAAAGAGATAGAAGTGTTTAATTCAACTGAAAATGAAGGCAACATAAGATGATGCCAGATGAGAAACGGGGAGGTGATGGCCTAGTGGTTAGAGCGGTGCGCTTGTGCTCTGAGAAGGTTACAAGTACCTGGTTTGATCCCCACAGTCTACACTCTGGGTTCCTGAGCAAGACCCTTTAAAGTCAAAGGGAGGCGGCTGTTCCAACCATTGCATTTCCGAATTCAACCAAGTAGTGCCCAACTTTACACGAGTGAATAAAGTGAATCTGATTAGTTGTGGAAGGTTTGCAAGCATATTTGGTTGTGGTCAGTTTGTCAGGAGCATCTTGCTAACCAGTTAGCAACTTTGTGCTAGTAGGTTCTCAATGG